GAAAGGAAAAAGGGAAGAGGATGCCCTGGGGATCATGGATTGTGTTGCCATCAGAAATCAAAGTGCCTGTGAAGTGTTGGTACAGGGTGAAGCTCCAAAAAAAAGTGTCCTTTGCCTTCCCTCTGAGCCTTTGCTTGCTCTTTCCCAGGAGTATGTGTTTTAATTGCTTAAGAAAAAGTCCTTTCAGCCCTTCCAATTTGAGACTCATTCAATTAGTAGGATAAAGATATACTAGATTGATCTATAGACAACCGCTGATATTTGTCTGTTTTTGGCCTATTCAATTTTCTTTCTGCTAATATGGTTTTGTGTCAATTTTATTATTGGTTCAGACATAAGGACTTAAGAAGGGTAGAGGGAAGAATTCTCCCCATCTCCAATATGATACACATAGTAAGACCTCAGTGAATTTTAGTTGCTGTAATTATGATTAATGATAATAATACTACTGGTAATAGAGATCACACAACCCATATCCCTCATTTTATAGATGAGGAAAATGGTGCAAAATTATGGGCATACCCGTCCTTCCTCAAAATCTTACTCATTTTTTTGAAGGGGAGCAGAATTTGCCACCCCAAAATAATCTTTTTGGCACAAGAATTATTTTTGGCTGACTATTTAAGAAACAGCAGACACAGGGAAATCTCTGAAAGTGGAGCGGAAGTGCCCTGGCACAGCAAAGACGTTTTCTGAGAATGGAGGAAGGTGCTGGGATCCTCTTGGCTGCCTCCCAAATTCCCCCTCATCTGTCAGCCTGAGACCCCGTGTTTCAGCTGGGCTTGTTTCCTATTTCAGAGCTCAGATCACATATGAACATTCACATGTTGCATTTAAAAGCCAATTTACTACAGTCTCAGTTATCTGTGAGCAGAAAAATAAATAAATTGTCAGGATTTTAGATTGGTCTTTGCTTCATTTTGCTTGTAAACACAATCATCTTAGTTATTTTTATGACTTTGTTTTGAAGTACTATGTTTCCTGGAAAATATCCTATATAATAAAACACTAATATGCAAATAGGACAAACGTCAGAACAACTGGTCACTATGATGCGCACTGACCATCAGGGGGCAGACCCTCAATGCAGGAGCAACCCCCTGGTGGTCAGTGCACTCCCACAGGGGGAGCACCACTCAGCCAGAAGCCAGGCTCATGGCTGGCGAGCGCAGTGGCGGTGGCGGGAGCCTCTCCCGCCTCTGCTGCAGGAGGGCGATAAGGATAGAGGCGTATCAGACTGTGAGAACCCAGGACTGCGAGAGGGATGTCTGACTGCCGGCTTAGGCATACACCCCCCGAGGGGTCCCGGACTGCGGGAGGGTGCAGGCTGGGCTGAGGGACCCTCCCCATACCCCGCCGCCCCATGCACGAATTTCATGCGCTGGGCCTCTAGTATAATATATAAAGGAGACTGCAGTTCTGGAGTTTTGCTGTGATCTCACATCTCAGTTTGAAAAATCTTGTAAAAGAGCTCTGGGATCCAATGCTGGGATGTCTCATATAATGGCATTATTATCCACAGACACGGCAAGGTACAATCTGGATAAAATTCCTAAACCAGTTTGTTTTTGGTGAATGTCCAATTCTTTTACAACTGCCTCTACTGTTATCTGTATTCTAATTTCCCTATTGTCCAGGGAAATGTATTTATGGGGACAGATTGATGCAGCAGATGAGGAGATGCATGGACTGGATGTAAAAGTACTTTGCAAGGAAGATGATTCAAACACAACTCAGGTTGAGGAAAATGGATTTTTAAAATAAATGAAATTTCAGGATGTTAATGTGATTTATTTCATTTAATGGAGCTGGTGCAGGAGGGCTCAGAGGTAACAAATCCCTTGCCTGCTCAGGCTAAGCAGGATATCATGTTTCCTAGCAGTTTGACTCCTCCACCTTGAAGGGGACCCCGACTTTGTATAAAAAAACATAACCACTGATCACTGGAGAAAAGTAACTGTTAGAGAGGACTATCCCTTTCTGATGTTTTTCTTTCTAGCAAGAAGGTCTGGGGTGGATGTGATAGGTAGCTTTCTCGAACATTTGATGTTCATTATCTTACCAAGTGAGCCTTTCAATGAACCTGTCATTTTGTGCCTGAATAATTAGTGGTTTATAACCTGCTGCCCAAGCACATTTGCAAATTACAATCACACCTTTGTGTGGTTTTTTCAAAGAGAACCCTCATTTGTCTGAATACAGCTGGGGTTTCTATGTTGTGTGACCATGTGAATCTAGTATTCTGTTTCAAGAGCTCTGGTACCCCGACATGGCCTCACTGTGCAATGGCAGCTTTACCAGGAGAAAGAAATGGTTCAGTCCAACGTCTCGAAGTACTTGAGGGCATCAGAAAGGCTTATTTTTTCCATGTATGCTTACAATGGGTCACTGCATATTTGGCCCAGAAGAGAGAAAGTTACATCTCAAGTGTCATCAGCCTGCCCCTTGAAAAGGACACCAGAAGTGAAGGGGCACCATCTCTGGAATAATAAAGTCAGTAAGGAAAGAGAATTTGCTCTGTCAAAACTGGATCCACACCTATCTTTTGGGAACATATTTATTCCCTTAAATCAGATATGCCTATTGTAGGGATGCTAAGGCAGTGGTATAAACAAAAATAGCAGAGGATGGAGAGAGCAGGTACAAATGAACCAGTTATAGAGCTTTCCTCATCCTCTTGCCACCTTCACACATTGCCTGGAGGCCAGCCAGTTGTCCCGTACCACCCAAGCTTGCCAGTACATTAGAGTTGATCATTAGAGTCTTTTTGTCAACATTGAAACAAGGACACAGGCTCTGCCAAGGTGGCTCCACTGAATGGGGCAACGATTTGTCGATGAATTATTTTAAGGAGCATGGCAGCACAGCATGATGTAGTGGAAAGACTGCTGTGCTACATGAAGTCCTTCATTTTAGTGCTGGCTCTGATCCTTAATAGCTGATTGACTTTGGGCAAATCACTTAACCACTCTGGGCTTTAGTCTCTATCTATAAATTGGGAATAACAACAATTGATGGTTGTGGTGATAAAAAAATCCTGGTTCTGAATGCAATTTGTTAACTCTTAGGCACTAAACATAAGTAAATGATTGTTACTGTTAGATTTCTAGAGGCATGCACAGTAATACCACCTAGCCAATAAGGGTCTCTAGTCTCCAGTACTAGGACCTCAGGAAGCGCCCCAGAGGTCATATAGAGAAGAAGGCCCTGAAATTGTTGCCCTTATAAGCCATTGCACAAATCCACTCAACTCTACCACATGTCAACTATAAATAGTATTAACTAAATAACACTTCATTCTACTCCTTAACAGGAAAGAGCTCCCAAATGTTTTATAACCATTAGTTTCTCAACAGTAAGAACAATTTGGGATATGAGGTGTAAATTACAGTTTCTAGTCTCTATCATCTGTACACATGGAGGGGGAAAAATAGGGTTGGTTATCTTAGAACATGGAAAATCCCACAGTATAGGATGGACTATCCTAAAGAATGGAAAATGCCAGTCAGATAGTGTATGATTTTGTTCACAATGTTTTATCGAGGCTATATGCTGGGGGAGGCACTAAGAGATCACTTATTCAATATTATTTTCTATTTTGAATCCATGCGGTTGATAAACCATATGTAGATAATTTTTTTCTCTAGTATAACACTTACATTTCACAGGTGAAGAAAATAAAGTCCTTTCTTAAGTCACTTGTAAAATTGGGTAGCAAGGCCAGGTCATTTAACTTTATCCAGGGGAATGCCATTTCTAGAACCCTAATAGAAACCCTCACTGCTACTCACACAGAGAAAAGTCCGACTATTTGGATTGGTTTCACTTCTCAAGTCAGTGGCATATCCGGTAAATATTTTTCTAGAGACCAGTCAATAGAATCAGAACATACAAGTTGACTTGTGCATGTAAACAACTTTAGCGCTGTTCCAAAAAACACCCTTGAAGTCTGTGTCTTGATGTCACCAATAGAATTGATTGGAAAGCGAGCACTGTCATAAATTATTTTGTCCCTATCAAGCCATGAGATTAGTTTGACTGCTTCTCACTGGAATTGGGTGGTTGTTTATTGTTGCATTTCCACAGTTTAAAGGTTACCACATTTTCTCTCTGAGTGAATTTTTACTGTGAGTGAAGAAAATGCAAGCAATCCAGGTGTCCTGCGCATGACACAGGTGCTCAAGGCAGGCCTAGCCTCAATAGTGAGTGATTATTTCCCTCAGGCTGGCAGTTGCTTTGGGGCTGATATTGAATGTTACTATATTTGGAAAGTTGGTCACATCATCCTAACATTGGTGTTTCAGAAGGGACAGGCAGACAGCTCTGTGGTGTTTGTAGGCTTTGTGCTCTGCAGAAAGGCAATTGGGACCGAGAGAGCTCTGGTTAACAGTGGTGAACTGTGCTTGGTAAGTACTCAAAAACTCCCAAATCTTTCATTTTCCCCAGGCAGCTCTCTCTGAGCACAACTCGCCCAACCTCAGTATTAGTCCTTTACCCCTCTGGCTCTTCATATGTGTGTATTCATGGCAGTGGTATCATTCACTGACTTTTTCTTTTATCTCACCTTTGTCCAAATGTCGCCTTGTGTCTCTCATCCTTCTGTGTGTACCTGCCTGGTCTTTCCAAATAAAGTATAAACTACACAAAAATGGAAACTGGGTCAACCTGATGGGCCTGACAACCATCTCCAGGGCATGCCGTGAGGGATTCCGGAGAGCCACCTGATGAAACACATTTCTCCACCCAGTCTTTCTTGGTGCCTGAAATTGCTACTATTAGAGCACTTTAGCTGGCTAATGACAAGGAAAGCTCCTATTAGAATGTTCATTTAAGGATCCAGAACCATTATCAGCCATTAGCACCCCCTCTTGAATCAGTACTTCATATAAGTCAGTCACCTACATGAGCTTTGGAGAAATAGGACTTCAGATTAGGAAGGCTCTGCAATTTTCAAACTTTCAAAGGGAAAGTTCTATATCTTGTATAAGGTCAAGCCTTACCCTCAGTCTCCTTTCAAAAGCTGAAACATTGCCTTTGTTTTGCTCCTTCCGCTGCCGCCACTCGATGAGGTTTGCGTTGTGCTCTCCGGGCAGTGAGATGTTGCATTTGCCCAGGGTGGGGTTGACTGCCCCGGCCAGGATGTGAGGCTCTGAGCTGAGGCTGATCTCCATCCCACTGGCAAAGGTGACACGTAGGGAGCCATCTGGATTCACCCGATATGTACTTTGGGTATTTTCTGTAGGCAGAGGAACAAAGGAGGGAGGGGGGAGGGGAAGGAAAGGGAAGCATAGGAAGCAGAGGAGAGACAAGCTTAGCTTTAGGAGGCAAGTCTGGGAAGGTTGAGCAGGTGGGGCGCTGTGGACCCCAACTGCCTTCTGGGCTAGACAACCACTCTGACAGGCAGATGTGCCCTCTGTCTATTTGGGTCTTGTTATTTTCACAGCTGGGGTAGTTTGTTCCTTGGATAAAAGACTCCTGCCTAATACTGCAGGCTATTTTTTTTTCTGTCTCATTTTTAAAGAATCCCCTAGCAGACTCCCTTTCTGACTTGATAGATCAGCCTCCACAGTTTGATATGCTGGGAGCTAGCATGAGAAGAGTATCAAGTTCAACTTAGCATCCTTACTGCCTGGGGACACCCGCACAGTTGCTGTACCTGACAAAACAATAACACTGACAAAGGTTGCCACCAATCCCTTTTGAGTGTATCTGAACGTTGAACAGTTCTGTGTCTGGCCTAACAACCAAATCAGTCTTTAATGACTGGACAGAGAGAAATAGTTTGTATCGATTCCCATTAGCTTCGAACAATCATCAGTCATCTCTACTTTCGTATGCCTTCGTCTTAACGATGAGCTTTTTTTAAAA